TGACCATCAAGCACGATTTTCCTGTTACAGGTGGAAGAGTACTTCTCCATGCTGCCGGAGATCTCAGTTCCCAGGTTGGGCACGCCCGGCGAACGTTACAGGGACCGACAATTGGCGATCCAGCTGCCTAAGCAGGACTTAGCCAGAGCCTATTGCCGACACCTGAACCCGAAACACGCCAGCAGTGCTGACGACTTCATGGCGGCGAGGAACGAGATCGCGTTAGACATTGGAAACGTACAGGAAGTGCTCGAAAGGGATCTCGTAAGTCCTGTGACGAGTGTAATTATTAATGCTAGAGGATAAACCGAATATTAACTTACTGCTGAAATGTTTTTCGTGCGAATAAGAACGTGTTTGGTTTCTTCGTAGGATTGCGGCGAGTGCCACGCGCCCCTTAAATACGGCAGTCTTGCCGTGTCCGCGAGTAAAATCGGCGTTCTTTATCACCCATCCTGCTTCCGGTGCACGGAGTGCAAGGAACTTCTGGTCGATCTTGCGTACTGTGTTCACGACGATACCCTGTTCTGCGAGAGGCATTACGCTGAACAACTGAAGGCCAGGTGCGCGGCTTGCGACGAGGTCAGTACCTTCTTCGTTCCATTTTTCCTTTTCCGTCGTCTAATTCTTATGAACTGATCGTAAAAAGGCCCGTGAAATATAGTTCGAACGTGTCAGCGACGTTTCTCAACGTTACATAAATTAAAATATAAACTAGAAACAGTGGAAAAAAATATACCTTTTGAGACCACGCGAAAGTAGATTGAGTCAGTCTTGGCAAGACAGTTTACCGTCCGACGTTAGCAAGCCCGTAATCTACTGCCGCTCCTGCCTGCGCGGAAACGACTGTATCTACTGAAACCTTCTTTATCGACGGCGGATTTTGTCCGTGCTCGATCGTACCTTTCGATACTCGGAATTCTCTTCAAATTACAACGCGGGAACCAGATGAGCGCTCGATTCGAGCAAACGACATATTGTTTGTTTCTACAACATTTTAACAACGCTTGTTTATAGGTACATGTTGTTTCTTACTCTGAGAACAATATACACAGGATACTTATTATTCTATTTACGGCAACAAAACAACGTAGTCCTTGTGGACATTTTTATCGCGGGCAAGGCATTGCGATCGCATTAAGAAAACGTAAAATCGCCAGGCGACCCAAATGTTCGTACGGCTGTCAAGGTGCGCATAAATCCCGGTACGTGCCAGCCACGGTCGTTTCACTGGCTCGTAAGTTTACGAGACATCGTTGATGTGATAGCCGGCGCGAATAAATTCACGTCGGAGCTAACGAAGATTTTCCATTCGTTCGAACTTACCGATTTTCCGACTGGCTGTTCCGATCCATACTCTAGGCGGTGAATGATAAATCTCTCGGGACAGTTTACAACCGTCGCGGATAATCGTAAACAATTCCACCGCTCTGAAAATATCTGGAGCATAATGATATTGAGTGTCGCGCGATCGCGACGGCGTTGTCCGACGCTCCGTTCCGCGGGAACTGGGCCGCTTTCGGCTTTATTTAGATGGACGGAAATAGGAATCGAGTGGATCATACACGCGTCTCATCGTCATCGCGTTTCGACTGCGCAATGCGAATTATGTTGCAAAAACTGCGAATAACCGAGGATTTTGGCCCAAACTTACGGTCCTCTTATGCTTGCGTTACGATGACTAATAAGTTTATCTAGTCATCGATACACTTTTAAACATTACTCACAGCAGTGGGTTACACTCCATTTGGCTTGCGGTCTTCTACATTTGTCTTCTGAAATGTGTATAGATGGGTTTATTGAGTAATTGCTCGATGGATTGTATTCTCTTTATTGAACGAATTTGTAACAATACGTAGTAAAGCCTGTTGATTTTCGTCTTCCCACGCGTTTAGAACTATAACTTTCCGGACATCTTTGTTACTGGATATATATAATATATAATTTACAGCACACTGATACAACAAATCATCAAATGAAGTATAGTGAGATATAACAATTATAAGAATAGAATTCAAATAGATATAAACAATACATTGGTACTTAACGTAATAATAATGATAACTATGCTACCCTATCAGAGAAAACAGTGTAATTCAGACCTAAATTTATTTATGTTAGGTGCGAAAATGTCAATCTCGTTCCAATTAAGTGCAAATTCTACTAATCGAGTCTGTGTTCTGAAAGCGAGAAAAGAGTAGAGATGGTCTGTTGTTAGTATGATCGTGGATGACTTTATACAAGAAGCATAGGCCAGCAGAGTTTCCATTCGCGATCGTATCGGTATACGACCAGTATCGAATTGTTCGACGGTGTTTCCATGGCCGGGCATTGCGAGGAATTCACGCCCAAACGATTTGTACCGGTTCGGAACGCGGCTAACTCGAGAAGCTGCGTAACATCAGCTGCCGTCGTTTGTTAGGCGCGTTCCACGTTCGTGTAACGCGTCTCGGAATTGGTTTTCTTCCAACCGGAAACCGGCCGTTTAATCGTGCCTCCGGCGGCCCCGCTCTGTGTGTAATCTATTTTGATTTCTTGTCGAAGCTCCCACCACGATCACGACGGTCTGTCCAGACACCGAGAATCGTTCCCCGTCTTTTATTAGAGTCAGTCAATTGGAGGCGAACGAAAGCCCGGCGAACCGGGAGAATAATCGTGGAACCCGTTCGTTTCTCTTCCCTGAACCGGAGTCGAGACGGCGGTTCTTCATCCGATTCTCATCGCGAGTTCCGGTCGATTTTTGTTCAGATCATCCCAACGAACGAGATCAATCGTCCCCTCGAACGTTCCCCGATTTTTCACGCCACGACAAAAGGTGGCCTCGAGTTTCGGGTAAGTGAAGTGTGCCACACCACGAGCCACAACACACCTCATGGATATCACGATTCGACCCCCCCACCTGAACCTGAATTTTCTGTCATCGACAACTCGACTATCCTCTTTTACTCTGTACCGACAATAAAGTACAAGAACATCCAACGTACACGCATTCCTATCTCCGCGATCGTCTCAGATTTATGATCCGCTTCTACCATCCGCTCGTAGACGAACTATCGTTTAATTCTCGTAAAGAATCCAAATGGAGCGTTACCAGACTCGTAAATATCGCGCGAAGAGAGAAACGAGACATCTTTAGGAGTAGAACGAGGGGGATACGCGCCACGAGCTCTCCTGTCTATCATCTCGGAATACGGTCTGAGCCTCCGGACGGGAAACAAACGGTCTTTATAGAAAAGCATGGCGTAACGGTGACGCAACCGGCCGTTATAGCGCGTGGTCGCCGTCGTAAAATTCTGGCCGCGTTTGTCTATTTCGGTCGCGTCGCGGTTCACGTGCCACCGTGTCCCTGCTGCGCAAAAATCGACTGTTTGGCCTGTGCTCCCGACCTGTCGTGTCGCCCACACGCTCCCGTAGCTTTCGGTCTAGTCTCCTTGGGCAGATCGTAGATCGCCGAGGTCTGTAGGCTCCGCTGAATTCATGAAAAAAAAAACAAAAAAAAACACATTTTCCAGTCGGTTTTCCGATATTCGATCGCCAACTTCCGGAAAACGCGATCAAATTCGAAACTCTGAGGTGACAAACGAACTCACAAGAGTCCGGATAATTTATCGTCTCCTCGTTCTCGACGATGATTTATCGTCGTCAACAAGAAACACTGCGAATAACTATGAATATTTGAGGAAGCCAAACGAAACAACAATCGAGCCAAAATTCTACAGTTCCTATGGATTCCACGAAATCTATCGGCCCGCTTCGGTGTTCTTTGTACGAATGTTTAAAAGACGACACGAGCGACAACACGTACAAAAATCGATTCTCAAAAATAGCCAGGGTTTTCGTCTTGCGACACGAAGATGAATGGGGCGAATTCGGGTCACCGGAGCCGTGTGGCTCGACCCGGCAAAAATAATTAAGGAAGCAGTCGAACGCGTCGCGGTCAACAAAGAAAGTCACGTGAAGGAAGGGTTGCGTGGCTCGCGAGCCACGCGTTCTGCCTAGGTCTTTGCTCTTGACCGCTTCCGGGTGGCTGACACTTTTGCCTCTCCGTCGAACCTCGTCTACGCGATCTGGATCGAGCGATTCGAAAATTGATTGCATCGTTCACGGACAGGGGACAGGTGTTCGAATAAATTACGATTTTCTTGAGAGGACCGTAACGCCATATTCCGTTTCATGAATCGAACAAACATGGACGAAAGTAGTCACGGAAGTTCAGCGACAGACACGACCAATATCGCGAAACGTTCGACTCAGACGGTCGGTGAGCTTGCTAGGACTCGTTTTCGTCTAGAAACACGATCGAAAGATTACAAAGACAGTGATCCACCTGGTACCAAACGGAACGACGTCGAGGAAACGAAAGGGAAGGTCGTCCTACGTTCGTCAGAAACGGCTGCAAAGTTTCCGTCGATCTAATTCGGTCGTGCTCGCGAAACGGGTGGCTTAGCCTGAGATCCGGTGGCACGCTTTTCTCCGACCGTGGCACACACGGTGGTTCGATCATCGACCGAAATAACATTGGCATTGTTCCGTTTCCCTCCAGAGGAACCGGATTTCGTGGCAAACGGGTCGGCCGACTACTAATTTCGACCCTTTCGCCGACCGACCGGCCGTGGTAATGTCGCGCCTTCTACGGCTATTTACTCGGACCGATATAGGTATATTCGTCGTCTGCCGTTGCTTTTGTTTCTTTTTCTTTCACGGCCCATCGATCGTTCTTGACTTTCGCGGGAACGCCGCTGTGGTACTGGCGGGTCCTGGGTGATCCACGCGGAAGAGGTCAAGGTCCAGGCTTGGCACCGGTTGCCAAACGAACGGTTATAAACGAGAAATTAATTCTGGGATACTGCATCGAACGGTTCCGTGACTGGTACAGTGCAACTTTGTCAGGACGTGGGAACACGGTAGCTCGAGACCAACGGGGGAATCGCTGGTCACGCAACATTGTATTCGATAATACACCGTTGTAGGGGGGACGAACATTTAGAGAATTGGCTGGATCATACAACGATATTCGAAAGCTGACGCAGCGAACCGTAGTTTCTTAAGAATGATACATTATCGGCCAAAAGTATGGGACCAGAGTATATGGAACAATAACATATTATTCTGTTACAATATAATAAAAATTACAGAATCATTCACATCATCACTTTTACGAAATCTTTGTAGAATAATTATATTTTTCTCTTTCTTTAATTATCAGACCTGGTCCCATACTTTTAACCGGTGGTTTATATATCGATCGAACGGGGCAGAGAGGATCAACTGGTGCCCTTCTTTCGATCACGATAATATTGGCCTGGAGTTGTGTACTCGAATGGTCGTTGTCCACGATTCAGCCAGAACCGAGACGGACACTGCCGCGCGATTTATTTCTGCTCGCGTCGGCCCGATAGGTCGTCGACGATACGTTTATTTTCGGCAACGGTTGCGGACCAAGTGGTCCGGCCGAAGATTACGCAGCCGGCGTTCCATTCGCGTGCACCGTCCGTTTTCGCGGGGTATATTCCTTCCCCGAGAGAGGACAACTTACGCGTGTACCTCGAGCAGCCGGTTCATTCAGTAACGCCCCGGCTTCC